CATCGGGAAATATGAAAGTAGTTGATATTTTTATTCATTAAGTAATAGGTTATCAACCATAATCCTCAGAGTAGAAAAGGAAACCCAACAGAAAGTGAACTTGCTTCGGGTTATTTTGTCAGTTATTAGAACAGTGTTTATTGGATCAAAATTTTCCACACACAGAATGATATTTTTTTTTAATTATCATAGGTTTTTTAGTTAATTTTAAAACATGTAAAATATAGAATATAACAATAACTAAATTTGCATAATGAAGCATGGAGTAATAATGAATGACGAAAACAAACAAAAATAATTCTTCACATAGAGGCTAGTCAATAGATATATGTTTTTTTATATACTTGATTAACTTGTTTGGCATAAACATGATAAAGAGTTGACGCGATCATTTCCGTAATAATTCATTTACAGAAAATTTCTGTAGTAAATTAGAAAAAAAATAATTAGTTTTTCAACATGATGTATAGCTATGTTTTTTCCTTTGCTACTTGTTTATGTTTTTTGGTTAGCAGTATGACGTCATTCCTTCGTTTTTGTTTTTAATTATCAACAATTTGAGATGAAAATATGTACGAAGACACTATAAGGAAATGAAATGTTTAAAACAAGGTATAGTCAGGGGTTATTTGACAATGCTAATAAACTCATTTTATCATTTTGGTTTATCTATATGTTACGGAGTTAAGTGTGGCGTCCACTTCGCAAAAACAAGTATACATTATTGTTAAGGGGACAGCTGCAGCCCGCCTCCTGGTGCGAGATATTTTCGCTCTGTTAAAGGCCTATTGGTTGCCTTTTATGGGGGGACTGTTTCTGCTCTTTGGTCGGGTTGTAGTCTCATTGACACATTCCCCCCGTTTCAATTCTCAATTCTATCATCATAGAAACCAGGATTAAAATTTTGAACGCCAGACGCGCGTTTCGTCTACAAATCGTTCGAATTAAACATGTTAAAACGGCCAAAAAAAGAAAGAGTTGAAGAGCATTGATGACCCAAAATTTCGAAATGTTTTGCCAAATACATTTAAGGTTATCTATTCCTGGGGTAGAAAATCCTTAGTATATCGAAATATTCTAAGTTTTGTAAACAGTTCATTTATAATTATGACAACATCAATCATAATTCATGTCAACACAGAAGTGCTGACTACTGGGCTGGTGATGCCCTGAGGAGAAAACCTCCAACAGCAGTGGCATCAACCCTGTGGTTGTAAATAATTATCATAGATACCATGTAAGTTTATAAAAAATGAAAATTAAATGATTCTAATTATTTTTTTAAACTCATGAATAAGAACTTTGGGAAATGTAAAAAACAAAAGCTCACATTGAAAAAAAAATAATAAAAAATGAAAACAACACGGTTATAGATTTCATGCGTCCGAGGCGCTTTTCTGGATTTACCTTCATTAGAAACGATTAAATCCTAATATGTGAAAGTCACGAATGTATGAGAACTGAAAAATTTTAAGAGCTATATGACCTAAAAGATCATAAGAAAATAGCCAAATCCATCTAAGATCAACTTTGTCTGAAGAATTTGAAACCTAAGTTTCTGTATAATTTCAAAATTCACAAACGGACAATTTCATAAAAGTTTGAAGACATGTCACAAAAAAACATTATGAGGGAAATATTTAATCTGAATTGAGCAAAACAAGGTGTCATTTAAGGAATAATGTGACTTGTTTAAGATATCCGCGAAAAGATATTTATTTACAAACGTGACTCCTCTTCGTATTTATATTTTTGGTATAGTTTTAGTCTAGCTGACAATAGTTCGAGAACTATGATAAGAACGGATATCAGGAGATTGGAGAGGGTTTGCATATCCTGACCGTAACAGGGTATATGTCATATCGACTATGAGACAAAGTCAGCAACAAGTAAAATCCAACAAATAGATCAAAAGTATCTTGAAAATTTTTGATCCCATAAACAATACATTATATTAATAGCAGTCTGCGACAATTACACTTCATATATAGAAATATCGATCCAGTTTATAGTCGCCTCATCTAAATTGTTTCTCTGATTTCTGACCGAAACATGCTCCATCAGAGTGCCGTAATACATGACCAGCGGTAAGCCAGAAATGTAAGAAAAGACATACAATTGCGTTGTTGATTTGATTCTGAACTATCACTTTCCGATAAGTGAAGTTACAATTACAAATGAGCCTGTCTAAGGGTTAGACTTTGACATTTATCAATCCGCAATTATTGTCAAATACCTTATTACCGACTGATCACTGGATTTAATTGGCGTTACTAAGTCAATCAGACACTCGTTACCTTTCCACCTAGATTCACTGAGTTCATGAACATCATGTTTCGGGCTTTTCTGTTTTATCAAGGCTTTTGTTTCCTGTATACTGTGTAACAGATTATTATCTTTTCACTTTGTTTTCTTTTTCTTGTTCAGCAGTCCTATATATATATATATGTTATAGTCTTTATATATAACACCAACCTTGTTTGTGTATGTGGCGTCATTCATGTCCTAGCTCATTTACCGACCTTAATAATAATGGCAATTATTTGAAAAAATATTGAATAGCAAAATGATAGGTATATAAAGATTGGCTAATTTCTACATATTCTGATTACTATGTATTTCAACATAATTATAATAATAAAACCACAAATACGTTATATATTAAAGACGAGAAGTATATTTAGCACTAGATGCTAGAAACAGGATGTTTTCACACAAGAAACTGACTCTACAAAACACTATAATGAATATCTCAGCGACAAAGTACCCACATATATATTGGAAGCTTTTTAAACAACTTTTGATGCAAAGACAAATGCTTCTGTTGGTAACTAAAGTAAAATCATGTATTGAACTATTTTCACTTTACGTCGAAGGTAAACTTGACAACTTTAAAAATAGTTGGATAGCAATCGTATTAAATGAATGTCAATGACTTTTCTTTCACTTGCTTTACTCCTGACAGCCTTAGTGGAAGAAGTTTGTTAACAGGTTTAATACTTGAAATTATTAATTAAGTTGTGATTGATTAGTATTGCAATTTCTTTTTTATTAGAACAACGTTCATCCGGAAACCGTGGTTTCATAAAAGGAATTTCATATCATAATGATAAATAGTTATAGGGGTTCCAAACGGTTAACTGACTGAATACAAGTGTTAACTATCAGGGGTAAATACGTCAAATGTAAATGCCTCTAGTCTCGTCTAATTTAATTTTAAATATAGGAGGTAGAACGAGATTGTCTATGATAGAAATCGGAAATAACAATCTTTTCGTATATTTTTTAAAAGTTTAATGTTTTTTGTGAATGGCTTTTTCTTTCTTTTTTTATCACTTGTTTCTTTTTCGTGTCTTGTTGTTCCTATGTACTTTTGGTGATGTTGTCGCTGTAAATAGATCAAAGAACTGTCGGTTTTCACCCAGAAAAAATTGTGGTCGAAATATAACAAAGAATTTATATCATTAGTTTGCTTGAATGGTTCGATTTTTTTTATCAGAAAATGACAGTAATACTATATCATGGCTACGAAGGTCAGTACATGAATGGTTTAATAATCATTTCAATACCAATACAACCTGACATTTCTAAAATTAAGTATATTTAATTTCTAAAAAAAAGTGTTGAAGCCCTTTGCTTGAAGTTTACCCTGATCTGTGTGGTAAGTTTTCATTATATTAAAATGTCCGAAATTGAATCTGTAACGAACCTAATAATGATTACGTCCAGTGTATACTTGTTGTACTTAAATTCGTTAGTTCTTATGGAGTTTAAAGAATAGAATTAATGTTAATACATAATAATGTATAACCGCTTGTTTATGTTACTGTTATACATGCAATCAAAATTCGAAGACGTTTCGAAGGCTTTTTCTAATTCAATTTCAATAACAGAAATATCGAAACTAGTGGTTGGTTTCATAAAAAGTCTGTTATATTATTGAAAGCAAGCTAATTTGATAACAGCACAACTCATATATTATCGGTTGTACATAGACCGTAATAATCGTATAATGACAACAAGTTTGATGATTTATATTGTCTCTCATTTAGACTTTTTTAATGAAAAGAATACTGTTGGAGTCACTAGATGGTATGCATAACTGATAATGACATAAGCTTAAAGTTTGATTTTTTTTATATCGAAGATATAATGGAAAAAAAATAACAACATCAATTTCATGCGTCCAAAGCGCTTTTCCTCCATTTACCGTCATAAGCAACGGTCAAAGCGAATATTTGAAGGCCACGGATGTATAAGAAGCGAAACAGTCCAAGAGCTTTATGACCAAAAATGACCTAAGGACTAGCAAAATCCGTCTAAAAGAGAGGAGAAAGATACCAAATGAACACCCAAACCCATAAGTAGAAAACAAACCGACAACGCCATGGCTAAATAAAGAAAAAGACAAACAGACAAACAACAGTAAACAAAACACAACACAGAAAACTAAAGACTGAGTAACACGAACCCCACCAAATAATGGGGGTGATCTCAGAGTTGAAACCTTAGATTCATTATAATTTATAAAACGCTTTGGACAATTTTTGAAGTGTTTGATACCAGTGATACCAGCAGCGGTATCGACCTAATGAAAGTGACACTTTTTTAATGGATATATTGTCCTGGTTAGCTGTTTCTCCATGGCGATTATCAGTCATAACTTGAACTATCCACATAACAATCATTGTTTAAAGAGGGCAATAATACCGAGGGGCAAATAAACACCATAAGTTGGATAAAAACAGACAACAAAACAAAGAGCAAGCTAAGACACTACACCAAAATAAAAATTGAGCAACCGTGTATGAAAATTATATACAAAAGGTGTACAATGCGTTGTAGATCTTTCAGTTTCCGTTGTAATTTTTATACTAATAGAATTTTAGACTGTTAGCATCAGCAATAAAATTAATAAGTACAATAGGACATAGAGTATAGTACTAATATTGTTCACATGACTGTGTTAAAATGAATAAACAACCCATAACAATGTTGAATTAAATTTAAGCTGTTTATTTTAATATCTAGATAGTTCAGTCAAACTAACCAAATACAATCAAATGGAAGAAGATCCTAAAATTGAGCATTAAATTCTACATGAATATTTCCCTCGTGGCTTTGGACAACGGGTGTAGCAAATAGTACACTTAGTTTTACAGTGACTGTAACATGACCAGTACTTCAAAAAGTCTGTCGTTCCTGCACAACTGCTCACGCAATATGAAGCATTAAAAAGGCACTGCAATGAACAAGAATATGCATATGTTCTTCCCGGAAAGCTCAAAGTAATGCACAACACTGCTGCAAACACTAATTTCATTTTGACCTGAAAAAAGAAAAAAACAATTCAAACATGAATTTTCTCAAAGAAAAACTAATAGTGTCAATGAAACACAGTCAACAAAATGAATATCAATCATATATTTGAAATTTTACCGTGCTTTGGCTGTTTCCTGTTCTATTATAAAACAACCAACTAACCAGTGAGAGTTTGAACGGTAATTGTTTATGGTTTTGTACCTTTGAATTTTTAAAGACTGTTCGAGTATAATAACTAACGAAACTGGTTCATTTATTATCTACTTGTTTGTTGGTGCATATGTTGCCATTCGAGTTAATGAATTTACAATTATGGCTGCTTGACATTACATGTCATTTTCTTTACTAAATTTGTCGTTGTCAGTCTTCTTATTAGCTTTAAATCCAAAAGGCGGCATGAAATGATGATTGATTTAAATCGTTTCATAAAAATCATGAAAAGAAAATGAGATTTGCGCTGTTACGGAAACGCTTGAAATTGAAATATCAATTAAAACACATTCGTCAGCATATTAAACATTCATGTTTTTTTCTCAGATAAGTTTTTTAGTTCCACTTTCTTCTGCATAGGACAATTGCCATGACATTGAGAACAGGCTAGGTAAGCGTGTTTCAAAATAAAGGAAATAAATGTGTAATGTTATATTCCTTCAACTTTACCAAAAGTCACGTTTGTGCAATACTGCATATGTTTTAAACAAAGAGTTTTATGCAATGGATTCAAACGTTTTTAATTTCTCACATGCGTACAACATAAAATTGAAACTAAGTCATTGATTAGTAGAAGTTAAATGCATTAACTCATACTTTAGAATTAAGGCAACTTACAAAATGTAAATAATGAATTGCAAATCCAATATCACAAGAAAAGTGTTAACTATAACTCAGTCTGCTGTATTGTTAGAAGCTGACGACTGGTGTGCGTTTTAAAACCGTAATACAGTTAAAGCAAATGTCAAAAATAAGAAATCAATGATATTTCACAGTATGTTGAAGATTCGTGTTTCAAATATCAGCAACATATGGTGAGATTGAATTTGTAGGTTTAAAACAATGCTTTGAAAGTTTCATTATCATCCTGAATTGTGTCTATTGACTTTTTATGCAATATATATTTATATATCATTCTTATATTTAGTTGTATATTTAATGGGCAAAGGTAATCAGATATACGCATTTACTTTATGATGTTAGAGATTTACAATAACTGTCGAACATTACATGTACTAAAAAAATACAAAAAAAAAACAAAGAAAATAAACGTTTGACTTGGAACTTGAGTACGAATAAGACTACCTTTCATACAAATAAACAATAGAAATGATATCAAAATATTCACGCTAATCAATATATTCATGATCAATTTCTGTATCGCAATAGGATCTTTTTCGTTTGTTTACCAAATGATTATATATATAATCGTATATTTGGAGGCATTACTTCGTTACATTTACAAATTCGTTTTTGAAAATGCATTAAAACACAACAACGTTTCTGTATATCTTTTGTGTTGTCCTCTCATCTTATCGTCCACATTTTTAAAAAGAAAACGATAACAACCATTCAAATCAATATTCAATGAAGCTAACTTCCAACAGGTTGAATATAGATTAGAAAATACTATTTAAAATAAACTTCATAAAAACGATGGCGTATTTGATACTTCAGATCTAGCGAAGACATCTTGGATTTTATAGCTGCATACAAAATCTGACAAATAGTTATCAAAGGTACCAGGATTATAATTTAATACGCCAGACGCGCGTTTCGTCTACATAAGACTCATCAGTGACGCTCAGATCAAAATAGTTATAAAGCCAAACAAGTACAAAGTTGAAGAGCATTGAGGACCCAAAAATGTTAAATTCTCTCTTATTATAAGTAATAGGATAACTATATTTGGTATGTGTGTACCTTGCAAGATCCTCATGCCCGTCAGACAGTTTTCACTTGACCTCGACCTCATTTCATGGATCAGTGAACAAGGTTAAGTTTTGGTGGTCAAGTCCGTCTCAGATACTATAAGCAATAGGTCTAGTATATTCGGTGTATGGAAGGACTGTAAGGTGTACATGTCCAACTGGCAGGTGTCATCTGACCTTGACCTAATTTTCATGGTTCAGTGGTTATAGTTAAGTTTTTGTGTTTTGGTCTATTTTTCTTATACTGTATGCAATGGGTTTACTATATTTGGTGTATGGAATGATTGTAAGGTGTACATGTCTAGTTGGCAGGTTTCATCTGACCTTGACCTTATTTTCATGGTTCAGTGGTCAAAGTTAAGTTTTTGAGTTTTGGTCTTTTTTTCTAATACTATATGCAATAAGTCAACTATATTGGTGTATGGAAATATTTTATGATCTATATGTCGGTCGCGCAGGTTTTATTTGACCTTGACCTCATTTTCACGGTTCATTGCTCAGTGTTAAGTTTTTGTGTTATGGTCTGTTTTTCTTAAACTATAAGCAATAGGTCAACTATATTTGTTGTATGGAAGAATTTTTAGCTGTACATGTCTGCCTGGCATGGTTCATCTGACCTTGACCTCATTTTCATGGTTCATTGGTCAATGTTTAGTTTTTTTGGTTAATGTTAAGTTTATGTGACAGTTGTAATAAAGCTTTATATTTAGGACTATCAACATAATATCAATGATTAATAAAGAAGGCGAGACATTTTTCAGCGTGTGCACTCTTGTTTTAAATATTCAAAGTTTTGTAACAGAAAATTTATAAAAATGACCCTATAATTGATATTCATGTCAACACCGAAGTTCATATGGCTTATTTTGCAAACAGATATTCAACGAGATCTGTGAAATTTCTGTCAGCCAGTACGCTGTTTTTTCACAAAAGAGTGAAAGGATGTCAAATGTTAGCAAAGTGATTATCAAAATATCTCACGAGGAATTAAAAAACCTATAATCAAGCTAGTTAATGATATAGACTATTAAAAGGCGCGATGAGTGTGTTGATGGTGGAGAAAGTTGACGGGAATTTGCTTAACATTACTTCGTACAGTTGACAATACATAGCCGTAAAAGGTTCAAATATTAATTTGATACATTATTTTTCGAAATCAAATTCAAAGTAATTTACGATTGGTTGACTTTTTGGCAATTACTACCTCTTTAATCAAGAAACACTTTAAGTAACATTAACGCAAAGAATAATCAAAAAATAATACATACTATTTTCAGAAGGAGATCTAGTTAAATGCATTTGGTTTAAAAGTGGAAAGCATATCGTTATAATTCGAAACCTTCATTCCTTGATCAAATTATATTAACTCGATAAATAAAATAAATCCACACCGTCATCTTGTTGTGACGCATTATACAAGACAATAAGTAACCCGAAAGAAAAACTGTAGGCAACTCAACATACTCCTACAGGAATACTGAGTGTCCATTGAACATGTATTAAGAGAACTAGAAAAGAATAGAATACTATAATGTTATCAGAACTTTGGAAGCATTAATAACACAGCTTATAGTCAGTTGAAGTTGTACTATTGCCTAATATCAAAAATTTAAAGAAATACTAATACATTGTATGTTGAATAATAAAAATATATAATGAATTTATTATTGTTAAATCGCCCTTGTTTTCTTTTGGGTTTTTGCAGTCTTAATCTTATTTGTATTCGAAGGCTAGTCGGACGTATACATTATTGTAATTCTTCATTATCAGCTGTCCATCGATAGTTTATTTCAGTTAAATATTTTACATTTTTGTAAATAAAACGAAAGGGTGAACTTATAAGTAAAAACTGAATCAGAATCAAATTTACCTTTTAATATCAAATTGCTAAAGATGTTTTGACATTATTTAAATCTATTTAGATAATTTATTACCATATAAGTGTAACAATGATACTTGTTTCTTTCGGAGAAAATTTACACAACATATAATTATAAATGAAAAATAAAACGGTAAGTATGAAACAATTTGATTTAGAAAATTAAAAACTACTGCATAAAAATTCCTAGCACGGATATGTACTTGATTATATTTTCCTTAAAGCTAACAATTGACCATAATTACTCGTCCAAATGTACTGTTCCCGTTTCAAGTTTTTTTAAACTTTATTTTCAAATAATCTTTTGTCATATACTGCCAACATTTAACATGTTAAATATTCATGATAATATACTAGATAAGTGTAGGTGTGGTACATTTTCAGTAATATTTTCTCAACATTGAAGAGAGTCTCAATTTTAGAAACTATAGAACGGTTCTCATCTTTTTGCATGTTGTGTATAAAACGAAATTATAACAGATGTTCATGGAATTTTCAAATCAACAGCCAAAACTGTATAAAATATAAACCTAAAAAACCAGTCATAGTGTTGTAACATTACTTAAAATATAACACGACTGGTGCCAAAAACTGCCTCTAAACATCACAATGGTCCTTCTATGTATTGGTCTCCTTAATTATATACATTGTTTCATTTATATCAGCTTGTATATAAACATACGGATATTGCTGGGTGGAAATTTGCAGAAGTAAATCTTTTTATGCTGTTATTCATACCACTGTTTCAGGTTAGGGCGAAGGTTGGCGCCTTTTAAAACGTTTAAACCCGCTGCATTTTTATGCACCTGTCCTAAGTCAGGAGCCTGTTGTTCAGTGGTTGTCGTTTGTTGGTGTGGTTCATAAGTGTTTCTCGTTTCTCGTTTTTTATATAGATAAGATCGTTGGTTTTCCTGTTTGAATGGTTTTACACTAGTTTTTTTGGGGCCATTTATAGCTTGCTGTTCGGTGTGAGCCAAGGCTCCGTGTTGAAGGCCGTACTTTGACCTATAATTGTTAACTTTTTACACATTGTGACTTGGATGAATAGTTGTCTCATTGGCACTCATACCACATCTTCTTATTTGTACTTTGAGTTGGTTGACAGTTATGGAATTTCTGTTTTACTGATAACTACAGATATGTTTGTTGTAACCACAAACCTGTCTTCTTTTTCTCAATGTGACCTATCAAATTAGACTTTTTTGTGTGTGTACTGACATGAGCAACACGACAAGTGCAACATGGGGAGTAGGATCTGCTTACCCTTCTGGAGCATCTGAGATTATCCCTGATTTTTGGTGAGGTTCGTATTCCTCAGTCTTTAGTTTTCTATGTGTTTTGTGTATTTTTGTTTGTCTTTTCGTCATTTGTCGTTTTTTGCCATGACATTGTCAGTTTGATTTCGACTTATGAGTTTGAACATCCCTTTGGTATCCTTGGCCTCCCTTTTATTGACTCCCCTTTTTAAATTCACTTAGAGTTCGGTATTTTTGTTTATATTTTTACGTACAAAAATATTAACTTTAATCGATTTGTAAGAATTGAACATCAGTAAAAAGATTATACATTTATTTTTAAACATTTTAATTCCCTAACTTTAACAACTGAGATATCAATTCACGAATATCGAAACACCAAATCTTGATTTACCGATTCATTAAAAGAAACTTAAGCATCTCAGTATTGGCTGTTTGGAAAATCCTCCAAACAGCCAATACTGAGATGCTTAAGTTTGAAATGACATTAACCCAATATGTAAGTAAAGAGTTTTCAGCTAGCTATAAAACTAGGTTTAATCCACCATTTTTTCCATAAGGAAATGCCTGTACCAAGTCAGGAATATGACAGTTTTTTTTTCATTCGTTTGATGTGTTTGAACTTTTGATTTTGCCATTTTATAAGGGACTTTCCGATTTGAATTTTACTTGGAGTTCGGTATTTTTGTTGTTTTACTTTTTATCCAAAACTGATACCAATTTTTAGATTAGTACCAAGTCAGAAATATGACGGTTGTTTTTCCATTCGTTTGATGTGTTTGAGCTTTTGATTTTGCCATTTTATAAGGGACTTTCCGATTTGAATTTTACTTGGAGTTCGGTATTTTTGTTGTTTTACTTTTTATCCAAAACTAATACCA